TGACAGAGATGGGGAACCTGTGGCTCTCTGTTTGTTGGGCTTCAAATCCCATCAGAGCCAAAGGTTCATTATCGCTAATTAAGGAGTCCAGAAGACAAGGAGAGCACAGACTATTTGAGGTGGTTCAAAAACCACTCAGACATTTGTCTTCTACTATTTGTCATCCAACTATGTTGTGTGCATGATCATCTGTGACCCGTAATCCTAAACAAGCACAGTCAATCATCTCTGATTCTGGACTCATGAGACATGCACATATTATATGCGCTATGTATTACATTATTGTGTGCTGGGCATCCATCCAGTAAGCCAGACTTTTGAGAATGAAATGAGGATATATCAAAGCACAGCAAATAAAATTATGAGAAGTTTTGAAAACAAAGCTTTGCAAGCCAGGCCATCTAAACACTAAATTTACTTTGATTTCTCCAGAAGAAGAGTTCAAAGCCTTGCATTACTCAAGGGTATCTTGAACTCAGCCAACGGAGCTAATTTGTCTCCTTGTCTGGCCAAGGGCTTTTTCCTACTTCCCCTCTTCCCCTAACAGCTCATCCCAACAAAAGCAGCAAAGAGAAACAATATGCCACTAACTCCCTGTAAACAAAATGAATGGCAGCCAGACATCAACCAAACATTGTCTTCCTAACTATATATCTAAGTTTGTAACTTGGCCCAAAAATATATCTTTGCACTATGTCAGATACTTCTTGCAGCTATAGTTGCCAATAATAAATGGCAATTGCACAACGAGTTTGCATAATGCTGGGCAGCTGGCCATTTTAATTGTTTATTGTGGCAGGGTCCTCAAAGATGTATGTTAAAATATTGGCACCATAAAATAGCTCAATTGAGTTTAATGTCTCATTTCCAGAGAGGACTTAACAGCAATTGGGGAAACATGTTTTAATGGAAATACAGCCCAGGAGTACATTAATAATAAAAACCTCTCCATGAAACTTTGAATAGCATTAAGAAATTGTTTTGATAACATACAAGAGACTACAATGGGTCTGAGGACAACTCGGGAGTGATAGGGTTTCCAGTTGAACCAGCAGAGACAATCCTTTTGACAGATGCTCATTTACATCTCCAGGCAGGACTCTTCTTCAATCTAGTTTCACCTTATAGAGTGCATCTTACGTAACTACGCACACATACAAATCTCTTTAAGAATCCTGACTCCAGTTGTGTTGAGGCTGCTGTGGTGTTTGACAGGAAAACCAATACATGCACATCACCTGACACTCACAAACATGCCTGTTGAATTGTCGGGAAACGCAAAGCAGAGAATGTGCATTTGTGAACTCATTGGAGACACTTTTCACAAAGTGGCATGGCTGGTTCTTCAAAAGAGCAGATGGATTTCAAGGATATGAGTCGAAGAGACTTTGGACTCAGCTATGCAGCTGCAAGTGTGTTGTAAGTGCAATATACAATGTGACACCAGGTGGCGATGGTGAGCCTTATGGAAAATTCAATGTATTTTTTTTGAAATGCTTTTTTTAAAAAGCATTTTCATAACGGTTTTTATATGTGTGTAGATTCCACCTTAGTTACTATACAGAGCTCGTCAACCTTGGGTCCCCAGACATTGTTCGACTCCCAACTGCCTTCAGCCCCAGCCAACTAACTTGTCAGGGATGATGAGAGTTGAAGTCCTACAACATCTGTGGACCCAAGGTTGAAGAACTCAGTGAAATAAGCAAAGACACAAGCTCTCCTACACAAGCACTCAATTCTTCCTGTTTTGGACATGTCTGGGACCAGCCCTTGACCCAATTCACACATGCCAGTGTGGTGTTGTCATTACTCCCATTAGGTCCCATTCTGCGCTGGTAATATTGACTGCAATAGGAAACCAGGGCAGATGTGGCCCATATGACCGCCTTTCAGGAAGAATTGGCATGGGAGCTTACCTTGTGATCTTGTTAGCCCACATAGTTCCTGGTTGCAGGCTGTGGAATAGAAATGGCAATCATGCTGTAGCAGATGTGGCACATATTAATAGATTCTTAGGAAGGAATGTGGGTCCATTTTAACTATTTAACATTTATACTGTGAGCTGTACCATATGGCTTGTAGTTGCAGAAGCTACCATTGTGAAAATAGGACTGCTCCAGAACTCAGAGGCTACACAGCCAATGCTGGGAGGCTTGTAACTTGGAGAACGAAAATATGATTGGTAGGAAGGGTCAGAGATGACCAATGTACAGTGGGCTCAGAGCAGTGGAGGAGCCAAGTGGGATGATTGCCTTCTGGAGGTCTGAACGGATGCCCACACTAACCTGTTTTAGGCTTCTCGTCTTCATATACTATATCTGTCAAAGCTGTAGCTGTATTTCCTCTATATCATATCTCCGGATCTTCTTTCCCTAGTGCAATTACCATTAGCTTTTGTATGCAAACCTGTTAATCAGAACAAAAGACAGTTTTGTATGAAAAGTGGCTCCCTCTCATTATTACATGCTCCACTGGGACTGAAAATAGTTAGTGTGAGAAATGTGATCTTTGGCAAGAACACAGGATGATGATGAAGCTGGGAGGGAAAAAGCCAAATTCTCCCTTAGCAGAAAGTTATTGATCTAAGGGACTATCTGACTTTCTCATAAGAAACTCTCTTAACAATGGCAAGTGCTAAAAATCTTTCACAGGATAGTGCCAATCTCTGCAATACTTCCTTTTCAATCAGGGTTTTCTGATTTTCCATCCCACATTTTGTACTGCACTGCATAAATGATTTGATTTTGGAAAGGACCTTAGTCCAATCTACACATACTTAGAAGTGCAAATTCTCCCGCTATCACGTTACCTGATTTTTACGGCTTGCTGATTGGTCCTGGGTCATTAGATGTGCAGAGGGCAAAATTATGAGTTCACTTCTCTCTTGCATTTGCATCTAAAATAGAACCTACTTGCTGCATCAGCTTCAGATTATGAATCAAAATCCACCTTGCCGTCTTTCTCCCCTCCATCCCTTCCCTTGAACCTGGAGTATAGTCAGAATACATAAGCTGACATGATTGCCATGGCAACTGGCTGTGATGTCATGCAAATAAAGGATTAGCACTGATTTTCACTGCAGGATTGCTCAAAAGGAGATGCTGTGTGAACATGGAATGCAAAAAGGAGAAAAATAGCATGAATATTGTTAATGGGGAAAACAGAACATTACTGGCATTGTACAATCTGTTTTAAGCAGATGTTCTCTCTCCTCCCCCACCCCATTTTGATCCCCTTTGTGCCAATACTCTGCATTAGGAGGGGAATCATGAACTCTGGAGGGGGGTGGAACCTGAACAAACACCAGGGAGAAAAATATTTTTCTGCTTCTTCTGCTGTCGATATCTTCCTTTTCTTTCCTTCTCTTTCTTGGCGGAAATAATGGACACTGAGTGGTCCATGGTGCTACTGGAAGGTCTGCCTACCTACTAGTATCCATCCTTTGCAGAGATTTGTGTCCTTTGCCATTATGCAATTTGCTTGTAACTTGAATCCATTGCTACATGTCCAACACTCATAGGAGAGCAGGGGGGGGGAAATGTACCCAATGCCCTCAACCATTCCTCATAGGACTTGGTTTCCAGATCCTTTAGCATCTTGGTTGCCCTCTTCTGCACACCTTCCAGCTTGCCAACATCCTTCTTAAATTGTACCCAGAAATGGATACATATTCCAGGTGTGGTCTGACTAAAGCAGAATAGAGTGGGACTATTACTTCCCTTGACCTGGGCACTATACTTCTGTTCATGCAGCCTACAATTGCATTAGCTTGTTTTGGTTTTTTTTGCTACTGCATCACACTCCTGACTTGTGTTAAGCTTGTGGTCTACCAAGACCCCCAGGTCCTTTTCACATATACTACTGTATGGGCATGTTTAGCCTGGAGTAGGAGAGACTGGGAGGAGATATGATAGCTGTCTTCGAATATCTAAAGGGCTGCCACATGGAAGATGGGGCAAACTTGTTTACTCCTGCTCTGGAGTGTAGGCCCTGAACCAATGGATTCGAGTTACAAGAAAGGAGATTTCAACCAAACACCAGGAAGCTCTGACAGCAAGAGCTGTTTAAAGGTGGAATGGACTCCATCGGAAGGTGATGGACTCTCCTTCCTTGGAGGTTTTTAAACAGAGGTTGGATGACCATGGATGCTTTAGTTGAGATTCCAGCATTGCAGGGGGTTGGATTAGATGACCCTGAGGGTCCCTTCCAATTCTATGGTTGAGTCAATCACTGAGTAGAGCAAGGGCAATAATGCCTTTGTAGCTGAGCAGTATGAATCAGTTCATGAAGAAGGGTTGTGTGCTTCTGTGTGTGTACGCTTGTGTCTCCATACAAGTCTATGTGAGAGTGTGGGTGGCCACACCCACCACTGGCTTGTGACCCTCTGTAGAGTTGGTTAAGCAGTCCTCTGGCACCAAAAGCCTATCCATTCCTACCACAGAGCTCTCATTCATGCAGATAATGAACGACCTCAGGAATCATGTGGCGTCACTGGCAGACTTATCACCTGCCATGGCATTACAGATTTGTCAATTAAATGTAGAGACACCAGTGCGTACAAAAGATGCCACCACACTGTCCTAGCTGGGTTGTGATCCAAACAGTGCCTCCCCCCCAAAAAACCCAAAGGCCATTGCTGAAGGCTGCACAAGCCTGCCGAAAGAAAGAGAGAGAGAGAGAGAGAGAGAGAGAGAGAGAGAGAGATCCAATATGGTGGTTCTGTCTTAGAATAGAAACTCTTAAATTACAGAGTTTATAGAAGTAACTAAAAGCATTTATTAACCACTTTCTCTTTCTTAGAATCAGTTTTGGAACACTTAATGGGCCCCACAAATCTTTTCTTTTTTTGAAAGAAAAAGTTAAATGCCTGTAATTTTTTTAAGAAAGGGAAGCTCAAACCACTAGGAACATTATAAAACAACATCTGTGAAAATCTCTTTCTCTCTCTCAAAATCAAGTAATGGCTACAGTTTTTGAAAGCTTCAGAAGGATATTGAAACCAAGATGAAAACAGTCTTTTTATTCTAAATTTCTGTATTTACAGAGAGTGCCATTTTACACAGTGTTGTAAAGTCTCTGCGTAAAAGAGTCATGGTCATTCAATGTTTGTGCTTACATTAGTAGCAAATTTTTAACACTTGAGTATATTAACAAAAAAATAATAACAAGCAGGCATAAAGATATAGCATGTGCTGAATTGTCACATATATTCTTGAAAGAAGGTTGAGGCAGAAGTAAAATGGACTGGGTTTTGTCTTTTATAAAAAAAGGCAAACAATACACAAGCAATAACTGATACTTCTTTTTGTTCATTTATGCATGATATGCTGAGCTTTCACATCAGGATTTGCAGGCACTTTAGCAATCCAGTTATGTGTGTGTACACATGTCTCTTTCACAATCAAAGTTAAGAGCGTCAAACACAAAACCAGCTGTTGCAAAGGAAAATTTCATATACCCAATATACACATTAACAATAACTCTGCTGGAACAATCTTTTTGTTTCCATTATTTTTTGGACACCAACACCTTTTCGTGACAATGCATACCAATGTCCCCTCCCAATTCTCTTTTATTATCCAATTTATGGTTGATCTTTACCGTGATACTGAGGTGTAAAAATATAGTAACACGGAAGCACAGCGCAAATTGTCCACAAGGCTTTACAAATCGTCAAAAAACAGGTTTTAAAAAAACTATTTTAAATGCAAAAATAGATTTTTGATTTATTTTGTCCTGTATCCCCCCCCCAAAAAAAATTAAGGACAAATTAAATTATCATGATGTATGGAGTAACTGGGCAATGTTTAATTTATAATTCATTTGGGGGGTTCATTTTTTGTAATGGAATATAATAATTAAAAATCCCCATCAAAGTTGTTAAACCAAACCAGAGAGAGATATTTTTCTCTCCACCACTCTACATGCTTCATGAAACAGCAATGTCCCTCCACTATCATTAGGCAACGTTAACTTATAAATACAAGGTTTTCACTGATAATATAACCTATATATGATTAAAGTATAAGACAAATGCAACAAGGTCCCCAGGATATATGAACATAACATTTTTTGCTTAGGAATGAGGATAAAGCTTTCTGATAGGACTCAAGAGTGAACGTGTGAAGTCAAAGAAAAACAGCATTTCAGCAGACAGACATTTAAATATTTATCAACTGTAAAACATTGAGGGCTAAAGATCATGAGTGAACATTCAACCTTACTGCTTACAAGTGATACGTACCCCTTTCCCTTAATCAAAGGTATGGCAATGCATCTTTTAATTAAAAACAAATTAATGATGTATGGAACCGGACCTCACTGAAGCATTGAACACCTGACAGCAAAATGTAGTGAAGCAGACAGTGATAGCACAGAACTGGGCTAGGACACTTGATAACTAAGACACATCACTTGCCTAGAGTATGATTGTCAAATGATGGAAAATCCTTCCATGATATAACACTTGAGACACAATGGCAAAGACATAAGGCCCTCTGATTCTTTGCCTATATTGCTAAAGGCACTGAAGCAGACAAGAATTCCTTAGTACCTCCTTTTTGTAAAAAGAAGAAGCCCCCCCGCCCCCCAATACAAGTCTCTTCATATGAAAATGTTCCTTTATTGCATGGGACGTTGACCTTTTTCTTCGACTCAAGAATAAAATGGTCTTCCCTTTTCTGGCGCTTGCAATCTGCTTAGCCTGGCAACCTGAGATGGCGAAGGGGGTACATCATGTCTGAAAGGACCTTTGGGAGTGGCATAATTTGGGTCCTGAACTTTCTTATAGGAGTCATAGTTGCTGGACCCTTCAGAAGATGTCTTTTTTTTCAGCTGCTGCTCTTTCCGCCTCTGCTCTTGACGCAACAGCTCTTGAGTTTCAAGCATTACCCGGGCGTTGAAGCCATGGCCTCCCATGTAGCCGTTCCTGGAGCCCTGATAGCTGGAATACCTCGGGTTGTCTTTTGCACTTTGGAAACCTTCGCCCGGAGGATAGTTCTGCTCCCAAGAATCTTGAGACACAGAGCTTGCATTTTTCCGGCTTTGCCTGAAAATCAGAACAAGGTATTTATTATACTTCATTACACTTATGTAAAACACTTGTTTTATTTCTGGAAAACTTTTCTAGTTCTTTTATGCCTCAGTATGAGGCACTAAGGCAAGTCACTCTTTCTCCATAAAATAACAAACAACTGATCAATACTGAACATTGGCTTTTACTACTGAAGAGTAGTTGCTGGAGGAAGGTCTATCCCTTCCAATCTGCTTGCGGGTGGAGGGATTCCTGAAGGTAATCCATTGGCCAATGTGGAAAGCTAGATGCTGGACTGAATGACCCCATAATCTAATTCAGAAGGTCTCTTCTTTTGCCTCCTACCAACAACCAGGCCATAATTTACCCTCTGAAGTCTATCAAAGTGGGTATCCTACCGGTTCAGACCAAAGGCCTGCTCAGCCCAGCATCCTGTTCTCACAGCAGCCTATGGGAAGTCCATGAGCAGGCACGAGTGCACTATTCTTCTCCCACTTGTGATCCACAGGAACTGGCATTTAGAGGTCTACTGACTCTGATACTGGAGGTGCTGTGTAGCCATTGAGACTAGTCAGTGCCATTTGTCTAGAAAAAGGTGCTGGAATGCACCATGAACATCTCCCTGTATTCTCTTATAATGGCAATGGCGCCCGCCTGAGAGATGCCAGAACTCAGTTCTGGCGAGTTCCCACTGAAAAAAAGCCCTGTGACTAGTACACCTAACCTTAAAAGGATAGTATTTTCCTCCACAAATCCCACTTTATACACACTTATGACCAAGGAAGTCCTTTGCCACATAACCACACACAACACATCCAAAGATGAACTGAGTGTAGTCCAACAGGAATGCTGAACCATAATCAATATGACATAGAATTGTGGTCAGTTAATCACATGCAAAGGCAGTTTGTTGGAGGTTTTGTACAAAAGGTAGCACCAAGAAACCCAATGCATTTAGCTGTAGACATACTGTATTTCTTGACATGGGTCACAACCTAGCAGGGCTTAAGTATGTCTGATTTTGTGTTTGAACATGGCCACTCTCTTTCGTAATGGATTTGACCATAGATTCAAATGCTGAGCATGGCAACAATCCAAATAAAGTTACTTGTGACTCGCTTATACTGATTAGCTGCTGACTAGCTGTTTTTTGTTGAAAGGAAAGCAAGGTATAAAATTAAAGAAAATAAATAAATGGATTTAAAGCAGAGTTAGCTGACTTTAGCTTTACTGGACTTACAGATTTTTCTCCAAATATATAGGAGTAGTCTCCTTCTGCATACTTACATACTGTCATTGTGCTGTGCTTAAGTCAACACTCTTAGCACATTTTCTTTCACATCACTTTTATTCATCATTGTGGAGGCACACCCTTTCTGTGTTCCATACATGTATTCCAGAATTTCAATTTCTGGCTTCTTACCTATTAATGCTGATTTTCTCACATGTCAATACAATCACCCAGATAAAGCTTTTCTAGTTCTGTTAAGACTGCAGTATTGAAACTCCCCTTCCCCTCTCCCAATGCCTAGCTTTCAACTCCAAATAGCAGAAGAATCTGCTGGTTTCAGAAGAAGTTTTCCAGGGAGTGATGCAACATTTCAAGCAATATCACGTTGGAATCCCAGATGATGATGCCAGCTTGGCAGGTAGACTTACCCCCTTGTCTCTTTTGCTTAGAGTAACCAGCTATTCTTCAATTTACATGTGTTCCTTGAGGCACTACACTATAAATATTCACAGTCTGACAGCTAATACTGTAATAGCAATTACAACTTTCAACAATAATTCTGCAATAGACCTGGACATGGGACATTAGTATGCAGGGCTTTACCAACCCTAATTGCCAAAGCTCTGACTTTTGCCTTACGAAGCCCAGCATGCTCATGCAACTGCAGAAGAAAACTGTTTCCAGTATATGTAGTATCAGAACATTCCACTACGTGGTATTTAAGCAAGCTGAGCACAACTCAGACTGTCATTACTGTCTAGTGGAACACATGAAGCTGCCTTGGACTACAACAGGCCATTGGCCCATAACTGTTGAGTTTAAATGGCATCAGAAAAGCTATCTATCTGTACGGTATTGTGCTTGAGATAGTGAAACCTCACCATAAAACAGTGCATGCATTAACGAAAAAGGGGTTTGTTTTGGGTACGGGAGTGGGGCCAGTCAGAGAGCACAGAGAGAGAGAGTGTGTTAATGCATGTGAGCAAGACATAGAGATGATGGAAGTGGGAGATGAAATGGAGACAGACAAAAGTGAGTTAAAGTGCCAGCTTCCTTGGGCTTGAAGTAAGCAAAAGAGCCCTTGCTGGCAATTCCTGACCCTCAAGCAAACAGGGTTGACTTCATAGGGGGCATGCAGCTCCACTTGGTTCTGCCAATGTATGTTCATGGACAGCCTCTTTTCTTCTGTCTACCTCTCAGATGAGGGCAGGGAAAGTGGAGAAGATAAAGAGAGTATACCAATCCGCCGTCCGTCAACATGTAGAGCTGGACAAGCCTCCAGAGAGAACAAGCAGAGAGTAGTTCCTCCCCTTCTCACTCTAGATCAGGGGTAGTCTACCTTTTTATACTAACTGCCCACTAATGCATCTTTCTTGATGGTAAAATTTCCTTACCACCCACCAGTGCTTGATGGAAGGAGGATTCAGCTTGTACCGTAGAACCCCCTACCACCTACCTAGAATCCTGAAACGCCCACTAGTGGGCGGTAGGGACCAGGCTGACAACCCCTGCTCTAGATAGGTCCTTGTTTATCAGATTCCCCTTTGCTCTCTCACCAATTAGGCAAAAGAACATAAAAAGAAACTGCTAGATCAGGCCAATGGTCCATCTAGTCCAGCATCCTGTTCACACAGTGGACAACCAGATGCCTGTGAGAAACCCCAAAGCAGGACCTGAGTTCAACAGCACTCCCCTCTCCTGTGGTTCCAAGCAACGGACATTCAAAGGCATATTGTCTCTGACAACAGAGGCAAAACACCGGCATCCTGGTTAGTAGTCACTGAGAGCCTTGCCAAATCCTGCTTTAAAGACACCCAAGCTGGTGGCCATCACTACTTCTTGTGTGAGTGAACTTCTAATGTTTCTGTGTTGTCACCCAACATTTAGTGATTTATTTAAAACATTTCTATCTCACCAGTCTGTCCATCAGGATCTCTGAAGGCAACTTACTAAGAGCAGCAATATATCAAAGAAGATAATAAAATAGAAAATAACCACCAAATAACAGAGGATTTCAACACAAAAAGAAATCAAAAGAGAGTCCATTGGACTCAGGATTCCTGAGAACTACATTTCCCAGGGCCTCTTCTTCCAGGGATACTGAGTTTTCCTATTACTGACACAACAGAAGGAAAGAAATATTGACGCTCTGCTACCAGGTAGATCTGGGACCTTGGATAATGCCAAGGAGAAATACAGGTAATTTGTTTTGCTTTGTCCTATGGAAGATAACTCAAACCTTATAATATCACTGGTAGTTATGCAACATGGACAGGCAGCTTTGTGACATTGCCATTTTACTTCCCTTTCCATCCACACAAAACGAAAGGCCATATTGTCAACACAAGTATGTATAGCACAATGAGATTTCTGAGTGAATATGGTGTGAATCATTCACTCTTTTATTTAAGTTCACATAAGCTTTCTAAAGCATCCCAGAAACCTTTTAAACAGCAGGCTCCAACTTCGAGAAAACGTTACTTTTAAAACAGCTTCACATTGAAAATGACAATAGATTAAGCTGATTCACACCATATTCACTCTGCCTGTTAGCAATAAGGCAAGCAAGATTGGTGGGACTCTTTTAACACCACTTTTATGAGAAGATATCAGAGAAATGTATGAATTCTGGAAACAATTTATATTTATAACTGCATGAATGTAGATTATCCATGAAGCGAGGAAACAAAGACTGAAGTACTTATTAATTTGTTTGTGCACAGATGTTTTGTAGCACAGACCTTGAACAAACAGTTTTCCTTGAACTGAGAATATATTTTGCGGCTCTGCAGAAGGTTATTCCACAGTCCCCTGTAATTCATAAATGAAATAATAATGCACTACATGTTTCTTCTGACAAAAAAATTACAGTTTATCATAGACATAATTTGGGGAACTGCAAAAATGCAGTCATGCAGTAGTGATCTTCCCTTAATTGAGAAGGCAAGGAAAGCTCTGTAGGATCAGTCTAAAAGTTGATCTGGCACAGCATTTAGTCCCACAGTGGAACCAGTTCAACCAGTTGCCCCGGGACACCCACAAGCAGGGCAAAGAAGGCAATAATATCTGGCTGAGCACTCAAAGACTTAGAAAATGTCACCTTTTTGACTATAGACAAGGAATATGCAGGCAAAGCCCTTGAATAAACTACTCATTGACTTAAGGCAGCATTCCTCAAACTGGTGCCCTTTAGATATTTAGGACTACAACTCCCATCGGCACAGCTGACTGGAGCTGCTGATAGTTTTAGTCATCAGGAGCGCACTGGGCTCCTATGGTTTCCTTCCCCCATTCAAACCCAATTCTTACCAACCTCATCCAATCCTCCAATACATCAGTTCAATGAAGAAGAAGAAGAAAAGACAAAATCACAGAATCAGCCTTTGGCTTTGATGAGAGTTGTTCTTGTTAGATCAAAATCAAATGAAAAACTCTCCCACTTGCTCTCCCCATCACTCTCAAGGGCACCTGCTCTTTTCTAAACCAATCTTCCATTCTGCCTCACTATACTTTATTTTCCCAAGACTCTCAAATTTACTTTAAACATGACTCAAACAATCTCTGTCCCAAACCAGCCTCAATCATTCAGCAAATGTCTGAATGCGTTAGGGGCAGCACTTGGGTAGTCATGAACTCCTAGACTCAAAACTGCCTGTGAGCACTTTTTGCTTATAAACTAAAGTATGTGTATAGACAGCACTTAAATATTAGAACCAATTAAATGTGTCAGAAAATTGGAAGTATCCCAATCTGATATAGCTTTTCATGGTAATCTCTCTATTCACTCAATTAATTCTTTTATGACATACATCCACATTATACATCCAAGATTCGCTTTGTTACAAGCTATACAAGAAAGACTTCCCATTACCGCTACTTCCTCCTGTCAAGTTCATATTTATTTTCATTACATGAAACTATAATGCAGAAGAATCCCTAAATCTCTAAAATTTTGGAACCCAGTTTTATGGGCTACAGCAGGGCTGTCAACTGTCATCATTGCTGACCACTGGCCGTGCTGGATGGGGCTGCTTTTGCCCCCCCCCCTCTCCACAGCAGCTAGCCAAGAAGTTTGAATGGCTAATCTCTTTCTAACCCACACCTGGGCAGCAGGAGGAAGCTGTACTTCAGAAACCCATTTGCAGAAATCTAAAATTAATTTTTCCTGGCTGGCACCATTTTAAAACACTTTACGCCCAATAGCTACCAGGAAGACAACATTTGTAAGCTTTGTTTTTTATTTTCATTTATTAAGATCAGATTTGGCAAAAAAAAGTAGCTCAAAAACTGCTCAAATTTAAGGGCACCTCTCTCCAAGGAGCCTCATTGAGGTTGCAATTTGTGACATTCATGCCAATTCTCCTCTCACCTGGTATACAGTTACAAATAATTATGTATGTTCTACACAGAATGGGTCTTATAACCCTCCCTTATACTACTTCTCCTTTTCTGGAAGTCCTCCCCCCCCCCTCATTTTGCTATTTTTGATATACAGTGGTACCTCAGTTTTCGAACCTAATCCGTTCCGGAAAAGAGTTCAAGTTCTGAAACGTTCGAAAACCAAAAACTCAATACAGAAGCCTCAATACGGAAAACTCAATACAAAAGCTACATCGTATGTTCGACTTCTGAGGTGTGTTCGAAAACCGAAGCTTTTACTTCCGGGTTTACTGCGTTTGAAAACTGAAATGTTCGTCAATGGAGACGTTTGAAAACCGAGGTACCACTGTACTAGGATGTAGTGCTTTTTTTCTGGGGGATACTTGAGGGTACTCAGTATTGGCACCTTTTTTTCTAGAACAAAAGCACTGCTAGGATGGTTCTAGGAAATACTACCAAATTCTCCTCTGCATCCCTTACCATAGCAAAATACTCCGAGTCAGTACTTTGAACGAAGCAACAGATTTTTCTCCTTCCCCATGCTTCCCTTGCCGCTTTCAAAATGGCCTCTCTCTCTTCTCAAAACTTTGTTCAGCAAATACATTTCTCTCTTGCACGCTCACAAACCACTTCTAATGTCTTCACTGAATTCACCCCCCCTGCTTTTCTTTCTATCTCCCCCTGCTTCCATTAAGAAAGTCACATCACTCACACTGTTGGCTCCAGAACCAAAGTATTTGCCTTTCCCCTTACTAATCACCCCCAAACTCCCCTCAATAACATACTTGTATCCCTCTTCCTTCCTTCCTTTCCTTATCTTTTCCACACAAACACACCTCTGTAGCCCTTAAGGCTTATGTTTTGTAATTTTTTCTCTTCATTGCTGTGGGCAGACAGACCCTCTTTCTCCTCACCTACTTTCTGCATCCTAGCTATGCATTTCTATACATGCTTTTAGAACTGACAACTTGTGGATTAGTTTTAACTCCTTTATTAGTTTTAAACTTCCCCCAGTGGCCCATTCTTACTGTGTTGCTTATGAAAGTCTGTGCCAACTGATTCTGTTAACCAGTGCTTTTTTTCTGGGGGGACGCATACCCCTAAACATTTTGTAAATATAAGTTTGGCTTCATTGAGGGGCAGTATTTCAATATGAGAAGGAAAATGAGAGTACCTGTAACCCCCCCTTTTTTAAGGAATAAAGCACTGCTATTAACATATTATGGGAAGTCTGCTAATTCTCTTTGAATACAATAAAATTTCTTGAGATTTATCTTTGTTGCCCTGAGCTGCATACATACCATATATTTAAAGCACTCAACTTCCTCTAAAGCACCTGCAGTTTGCTATAGGTGTTTGAGAACATAGCTCTGTGAGAGCTAAATGACACTTCCTGGGATTCTATGGGAGAACTGCAAGCTGCACCATTCATAACAGAGGACTCCTCTTAATAAAGAAGACACCATTTTTTGAATAAACTGGCTTCAGGCATGAATTTGCCAGATCACTTTAGACATTTGCCGTACCTGGGTAATGAACTGTATTGCCGCTGAGCTTGCTGGAAACTCTCCCTTTCTTCTTGACGCTGCTTCTGCATCTGAACCTCGACCGATACAGAATGCCTGCCACTCTGTGAGTATGACTTTGAACTTGGCTAGGATAGGAAAAGCAAAAATTTCACATGGTGAGTTTTTTAAAAACCAGTAACAATAGCATTCAGAATGATAAATAATGCTATTTTTCTGCAAAGACACAATTTTTAAAATGCTTTCATTAGCAACCAAAATGAACTGTTTAAACCATTATTATGAGTGTATTAATTTGTGAATCACCTTCAACATGTTTGCTCCAAGACAATTTACAGACATACCCTTAAAAAATACTACAAAATGTATTTGAGAGATAGACATGGCAGAAAAACTCCAGTAGAAATATTTTCAAGAGATACCCCCCCCCCTTATTATAAATGCTTTAGGTTCTTTAACTTGATAGATAAAATTTAGACTATCTGCAGGATTCCAGAAGTATGGAAAGGTTCTACCTATTTTAGGACAAGGTTATCATACAAATGCTTATATGAACAGAGTCAAAGCGGCTGCATTTGTAGATCAGTCACTGGACACAGCTATGAGGGACTAAGTTGTTTTTGGCGCTGCTCAAATCAAGTGGCTGGCATATTTTATAGTCTTAGCTTTGAAGTCTGAGGAAACATAATGCAGCCATCTTGGTGAAGCTAAGCAGATTTGGGTCTGGTAAATGTATAAACTGAAGACCTGGGAACCTTGGTCTTGAGTTCCATGTTGGAAGAAAGGAGAAGGGTATTAGTGTACCAGAATGAATAAATGATAAAACACCATCCATGCAGAGTTTGACGGACTCCAATGTTCTTTTTTAGCCACTAGAAGGAACTATGCCTAAGTAGGGGTTGGTTTCACATACCTCCATGTGTGTTTCATTATCAGTTCATACTGGCAAACCTAAATTCTTATTAGTGTGTCTCCCCTTTCCAATCCAAAGAAAGTAAGATGGTTTCTCCCATATGAAACGGCCTGGCACTGTAGGCCTTCTTTTGAGGGTGTTCTAGTTCCAACCCCCTTCAATGTAGGGATCACAGCTAAAGCATTTCATTCAAAGACAAGTTAAACACGGGGAGAAGATTGCACAGCCCTGCAAAGTCGTTCAGTCGGTCTCAATCGGAGGTGACCTGAGAATGCTCCATCTGTGAACACATGCAGACCATGAGCTCTTCAGGAGGACATTTTTGGGGGCAAAATGAGCTATAAGTATTCCAGCTGAACACACTTTAGATCAACAAATACTGCAGGGTCAGGGACGACATGGGGATAATGTGTGCATAGCACCATCATTTATATGTTTTTAATGTTAGCTTTATATTTGACAATTACTGTTTCCGCTTTTTCTGTTTTAAAAAAAATCATTGCTGTTCCATGTTACACATACTTTTAAACAACTTTGAGGGTGCTTATGGTGGAAAGTAAATAAATAAATCCTAGCCAACAAATAAACACCCCCAAAGTTCTATCTGCACTTAATGCACTTAGGTTGGAAAATACGTTTCACAGCTGACAAATGGAAATTCCTAGACAACTGCCCCCTCCAAATGTTTAACACACTGCCACTTTGTAAATGGCCTGACAATGCATTTTAAGAAAATTACTTCGCATCAGTTTCATCTCGCATCTGCACACAATTTTTAATCTTGGCAACAATATACGACATACGAGAGATGGAAAATACCCCCACCCCCTCAAAGTGGAAAAATATATTTCCCTGTATTGGGACACAAACTGTGTGCTCAGAGTATAACTCTGAAACTAGTTAACACCTGTACAAACAGGGCATCACAAGACAAAGTATAATTATCATAATTCTTTAAAGCTATCAAACAAAGCTGCCTGCGTCTTAACTGTGCAAATTACAAAGAACTTCAGCCTTGTCTGTGAGGAGATGCATGACAAGTGCTGACCTTGTAAATCAAATAGCGGTCAGGGCTGCCGTAACACCCAAGGCTGCATTATACAAATAAATATATGTTTGTGTCTTCCACAATGACCCTTAAGTGAAATGATCGTTATGGCTTTGAAGATTTGTTAAGGAAAGCACAGGAGAAAAGGAAGCTGAAGAAGAAGGTTGGCGTGCACAACATGACGATATGAGATCCTTATTGTGGTGGTTCTTTAAGATCTCAGTAGAAGGCACATGTAGAATATTAGAACAGTTGCAATCAAATGCAAATGTTATGCATGCACAAGAATATTCAGGAGTTTTGGAAGGATGTAGTTGAAGAAATTAGAGGTGCAACCTCTTATTTACTGTCTAAAGATGAAACATCAAGAAATAGTGTGATCAACTTGTGCATTATGGTAAAAAAAAGTGTGTGTGGGGGGGGGGTAGCCACTATGTGGGAAAGGGCAGAAAGGTCACTGTAAGAGGCTGGATGGAAATTATCTGGATGGCATCTTATGAAATAGTCTCTAGTTCACAAAATCTTATGGCACAATGAGTATGTTAGTCTTCTGTAATATAAAAATGATTCTTTACAGTATATATTTATATACTGCCTCATATATCATAATGTATTTCATATTTAGTAGATCCAAAATCATTAGTTCATTGGGCATATTTTGGTTTCAATGAACAACAAATTGCATTCTTTCTCTCTGTCTTTCTTTCCCCCCGATCAAGTTCTCTTCTATAGTTGGTTGTAGCTGGTGATTTTTATTAGGTTTACAACGCTATGCAATATTTTGGTTAATGTGACAGACTAACAAGGATTTCATCAACAAGACATATTAAGATAATTACAAAAAATAAGAAAAATTTTATGATAATAATTTATTAGGAGTTATGATGTAAAATGGGACGCATTTTAAGTGCAAGTAGATAAATAGGTACCGCTCTGGCGGGAAGGTAAACGGCGTTTCCGTGTGCTGCTCTGGTTCGCCAGAAGCGGCTTAGTCATGCTGGCCACATGACCCGGAAGCTGTACGCTGGCTCCCTTGGCCAATAAAGCGAGATGAGTGCTGCAACCCGAGAGTCAGTCATGACTAAACCTAATGGTCAGGGGTCCCTTTACCCTTTACCTTTTTATGATGTAAAATCAGTTTATAATTTGTTGAAAAGGGTTACGTAGCCAAAATATATTTCTGGAGATGTCATTTTGAAGGTTTAGAACTGATGCAATTGCTACATAAAGTGGAATAATGAATTAATGATGCCCCCACCTGTTGTTTCATTAATTCATCAGTAATGCTTATTAATTGTATAAAATAGAATGCTGGGTATAACTTGGGTTGTATATGTCTTTCAAAACATCATTGTTAGTCTGACATTGAGGATAAGTCTATAAGAAAGCATCTATTCTTTATTTTTTTCAAACAAATAATGAAAGAATATGTGCCATCAATATTGCATACCATTAGGTTAGCATACAATAATGCTTGCTTTCCCTATTAAGGTAAGTATATTATGTCACCATCACACAGAACCAGTACAAACCAATCCTAGGTAGCAGAATATAAATCAAGGGCTGGAATGAAAACCCAGCAGGAGTAGAACTCAGCTGTTGAATTTTGGACTGGAATTCTACTTCTCTATCACTTATTTATTATATATTTGTGATCTAGAATTGACACGAATAAACTACAAATGAGCTAAATCCAAAATATTCTAGTTTGGTTAAAAAGTTTTCAGGCTGCTCAAAGATGGAAGACCCTTCAATTAAATAAGGCCAATTTTCTGTTTAATCAACTTATTGCGTTTATGCTCCCACTTTCCTTGAAGGACTTCAAGGCAGTGTGCATTCCCCCACATTTTATTCTCAGAACAGCCCTATGAGGTAAATGAGGCTGAAAGATAGTGACAGGTTCAAGGTTACTCCTCATCTTAGAAATTGCTATTGCTAAGATCAATCAGGACTGGCTACCATCTGGAAAGAAGTTTCTCAACTTCAAACTTGTGGTTTAATTAAAAGATGCTAATAGATTTTATTTATTTATTTCTTACTCATTTCCCATGGCTTTGCGGACAATTATAATATATAATTGTTCACTTGGTCAAGCAAATAACATTGCCTGGCTTAGCCATTGAAATTAAGCAAAATGAAGTCAAGGAGAGGGAGGTCAAAGAAAAAGAAGGAAAATGGTGCCAAGGAGCAGCCACAGCAAGAATAGAGAAACACTGGACAGCACTGAAGGAGTGCTGGAAAAGGATGGTGCTTTTTGACATTTTAGCATATTCTGAACTAGATGAGTAGTTTCAGCACAACCCTTCCTTGAACGTCTGTCGTGCCAAAATCAATACCTCAAACCCAGGGATGGGGAAACTGTGGCTCTCTTAAGTATTGCTGGACTACAAGTTCCATCATACACATTGGCCATGCAGGTGGGGCTGATGGGAATCTATGCTTGCATTTTTGTTGATATTTTTTGGAAGCATCCTTTTTAAAGCTATCTTTTGATTCTGCTGCTGCTTAAGGAGTTGACAGCAAGTGCTGCTTTGTCCCCTGCTGCTGTTTTTACTTTGATCATTGGTGCTTCGTTGGCTGGGTTATTGCAGTATGTATATTTGCATTTGTTTGTAATTGCCTCTGAGCAACTCTTTGGGCAGAGGGCAAAAGCCAGGTATTTCTTTTTAAAGAAATAAGCTGGCAAGTAAACCCCACCCAGGATGCAGATATGGAAGACCCTTCTCATGCAGGAGTGAACACTGGGGCCCTACAGAGCTCTGGCTTGGCATGATGTAGAATGGAATATGTCTGAGAAAAGATAAATTGTCACCCTAGCCTCACTGGTCTGAGTCATGTTCTCATCATTAACTATTCTACTCCACTCTCTTCAGGAAGTGTCATTTTAAAGTTTCGAATAAGAGTGTCTGTATACATGAAAGTCATGGGACTGACTGCTTTGAGGACAGAAGTTCATTAATTATCGGCAGAGCAGATATACAAGCCCAGGAAGAAATGCCAGAACCCCACAGCACATCAGTAAAGGTTTTGCCAACAGAATCGTTGTAGAATAATTTGAAATGGACATCTGCCCACTATGATCGAAGAAAAGACATATGGACACAAGCATCCACCAGGAACTGGAAACTGTGATTCAGGCAGAAGTCATTTTTATATGTCAGACATAAGCAGCAAACCCAATTTCCTTCTGTTTTCACACATACACTTATCTCTCTTGGCTTCTCGAATCCCAGTTCTTTAATACATATCTGTTATTCATCAAGCTCTGTGGATGGGAAATTACCTTCTTTGTTCAAATCAGGAGGAAAAAGCTCACTGTATCATCATGGATCTGAGGGACTTTTATGGATGTAAACCTTTATTTACGTCCATCCAAGCCTTTTCTCTTTCGTGTCCCCCAACCCCTCCCTTTCACCTGGTGCCACAAACCTGTTCCCTCAGGCTAATTCAAAACTTTTTAACACTTGCACAGCTGTGTTTTTCTACAGTCATACTTGTAGCCAAGAATGCTGAGATAAAAAAGAGAAAGCATTCAAAGAATACGGTTGAAGTTTCCTCACAGTAAACCACTGGTGTGTGTGCGTTTTACCATTGCTTAGTATTCACTGCATCTGGATGCATTTTGGGAAAAGCACCTCTATAATTTTAAGTTAATACCCTGAAGTTACATACGCTGCTTGAGAGATGGGTTTATTGTTCCTCAATGCTAAAACTATATTGTACACTCTCAGAATGAATGAGATCATAGTTTCATCCCTTCCCAGCACAGTGATCTTACCCAGATTGGAATACACAAGAGGGAGAAAATAATTCAAAGGTACAATGGACCTATTTCTCCAGAATTTGAGCATCTAAATGAATGTGTCTGTATAAAAGACACATGCACAAGGAAGGGGGGGGGGGGAGAGAGAGAGAGAGAGAGAGAGAGAGAGAGAGAGAGAGAGAGAGAGAGAGAGGCAGGCAGGCAGGCAGGCAGCTTAAATAAAGGAGCAGACCATCAGCCAAAGGAACAATAAGGCTCAGGATTAAAATTAATACATTTAACAGAATTACTGTCACTTTAAGCTCATTTACATGATCAGCCCAATGGGGAAGAGGCCCTCATTGTTGGTGAGGGGAAAGAGGAAAAAAAGAAAGGTCAGCATTCTGACCCACAATTTAGGAAATTATTCCATTCCTGAGGTAATCAGCCTGTCATCTAAATAATTTCCCACTCATTCATTGCTGGAAAGTATAATGCACGCCAAGGTTGCCTGTTTAAAGTTGCTATGGTGTTTGGATAGAGAACATTTTGGCCCATGACCCTCGGTAGTTAAGTTCTCAAGTCCTCCTGAGTGCACAGTTTTCTCAGACAGTGTCCCCCAAGATCCCTTAACCAGTCAAATTCTGAGATGAAGCAGAAGAAGCCTCCACATAATGCCTGCCCCTTTTCGGGAACCTCATACATGAAAATAAAAATAGGTTCCTGAGTTATCTTTACAAGGAAATAAAACAAGCATTTTATTTAATTAGTTCCAGGGAGAACCAAGCATATTTTATAACAGAGCTTTAAAAGGAAGCCCATATATTTTAAACACAGTAAAATATATAGAGTATTTTACATAGAGTTGCAGAAGTAGCTGATTTAAGGGCTACGTCTGTTGTCATTAGTTATGCTGGGATTTAAAATAAACGCTTTTAAGGAGACAAAAGTCAACTTGAATAAAAGTTGTATATGTTCTCCAGGTTAACAAATATGATATACATATTTACAAAATATGAGGTTTATATTTATGACATAGCTCTTTTCTTTATGGCTAGAAATACAAGTCATCGCTCTCTGTATTTCTAAGGTAGCCTGGTGATGACATGGATGTTAAATCTTTTTAAAAATCTGCACAGAATTGTACTGCATACTTAAGAGGCTTTCATAGTCTATTTGGGACAATTTGGGTTTGTGGGGAACCTTTGGCCTCCCAGAAGTTGCTGAACTGCAAGTCCAGTCATCCCTCACCATTGGCCATGCTTGCTGAGGCTCATGGGGGTTGTAGTTCAACAACATCTTGAGAGCCAAAGGTTTCCCACATTGGAATTATACCATCACCACATTGCAGTGAGACTCTTGTGTGTGTGCATGGTTGAAGGTGCCCAAGGAATGTCTACTATCAAAAGAATCTAATCATGCACTTAGGTTATCAACATCCTTCTTCAAGTGTCTTTTGCAACTCAGCACGGCCAGCCAAGACATTTTGTTGCCAGAGACAAAGGGCCAGGTTATGCCCCTCCTTAGTCGATGTTTTCCTACTGCACCCAACTGGACTGGCAACTGAATCTTAATTCAGCAATGGTGGCAGGATAGGGTCCTCCAGTTCACCTGAGACAGCAGGACAGTTACAGGGCGCAGGGCAGCCCAATTGGCCCAAAGGGCTCTGTCCTCCAACAGAAGGGAACAGCTTGTGGGGGGAATGGAGTTCAGAAGGAATAGCCAGGAGGCTGCCAGTGTTCCCTCACTGCATCTGCCACGTTAGGCAGCTGCCTCAGTGTATCTAATGACAGAGCCAACTCACAGGCTCAGGTAGTGACCACGAGAACTACTGGCTTTTCAGTGGTGCCCCCACAATGGCAGAAATCCCTGTCCGGGAATATTTGTCAGAGACCTCCCTCTCTCCTAGTTTTCAGAAGCCTGATCAAAACATTCCTATTACATAAATCCTTCGATAGTTTAATTACTGATAGTGTTTATATGACATTTACATCCTCTCTCTTAATGGCTTATTGATCGTGATTGGTGGTTTTAATTGCAACATTATTAAACTGGATTTTTTAAATGATTTAATGGAGCTGTGTTTTGTTATGTAAGCTTCCTTGGGGACCTTTTTGTATTAAAAAGAACAATACTGGTGATTAAAAAAAAAAGGCTTGCTATCTATGTGTCAATGGGGGATTGGGAAAACTATGCGTTTCTGGACATCTCTTCCCGTCTTGGCAAAATCTAGTTGCTGGTTCTATCTTTAATGCACTTTTTAAAAGCACTCTTCAAGCGCAGTCCAACATAAATGCCTTAAATCCCTCCATATTTTATCTGAAACTGCACAGCTTACACAAAGAATCATGTTCTTGAAAATAACGCATACACAACCCCCTTACAGGCATTAAGAGCAAGACAGATAAGCTAGTCTGCATTGATGTGACCCAGCTATGCCTTGTCACATGGCAAACAATACCCTTTACACAATTGACAGATGGCAGAGCACAATACAAAATGAAATTAGGAATGTTGGGCCACAGATGGAGAAGGAAAGGGTCAGGAGTTTAAAGGTCACCAAGGCCCTTGAATCGAAGTTGCATCAGGGATTAAGAATAACAACTGACACAAGACAGGGGACGCGCTGTAGCTTAGCTGTAGAGCACCTGCTCTGAATGCAGAAGGACCCCAGCTTCAATCCTGGGCATCTCCAGGTAGGGCTAGAAGCATGATCTGTCCAAAACTCTGGAAAGCCACTGCTGGCCAGTGTGGTAAACAATAGCAAGCTACATGGACCAATGGTCCAAGCTGGTATAAGGAAGTTTCCTATATTCCTAAGGACTTTGTGCAGCGCTGTATATAGTGACTGAAAACGAGCACTTACCCATGGTTGTTCAAAACTGTAGGTCCGCCTCCGATCTTCCACATCTTCATCTTGCTTTGCCTGTTGAAATTCTTGCCTTAGGCGTTGTATCCGATCATGATTGCTGGGAGTTGATCTGTTACTAAGAAAGGGAGGGAGAAAAGAGATTAATACCGGGGGGGAAAGCAAGACCATTTTTCTTTTTCAGATACAAAACAGCTTGATTGAGTCGTACGATAATGAGCTGACAGAATGCTTACAGTCAAATTTCAAAGCCATATTCCTAAAACAGAATTATATGCAAAATTTTGGTGATTCTTGTAGCTCACGGCAAATCTGAGAAGGCTAAAGAAAGCACTTTCAGTGACAGAGATGACCAGAACGAAACTGGGAAGAGTGGTGGATATTTTTTTTTGGAAAGACGGGCTTAAGACATTGGAATAATTACTGCAACAATCCAAAATTAACATTTATCTCTCTGTTAAGTGCTTATTTCTTTACCATATTTTTAGACTGCCTGTCAGCTAAAGATTCTCCATTTTAAAATGCAGAACAACAAATATGGTAGTTACATATCTATCTATCATCTATCTATCTATCTATCTATCTATCTATCTATCTATCTATGCCCCCCCATCCTCTTATGGGGAAGAAATGAGCCACCTTCAGATCAGCTTAAACCCATCCTTCCAAGACAGAGAGTTTTATCATGAGTGATAAAGTAAACTCTCACGTCTTTGTTGTGAGCTTCACACAGCCATCTGGTTTGCCAGACATAGCCATAGAGGGGTCCTCCAGACATTGGTGGATGGCCAATGGTCAGGGATGGTGGGGGTTTGAGGCACTAAGGAGGCTACTTCTTTCATTGTTTCTTATATAACAGCCGCTATGTATAGTGACGGAAAACGGACACTTGATTGATTCTGTGAACTGGTCCTCGCCCAAAACAAACAGGCACATCCTCTGCTGTGTTATCAAGAGGATTTAAAAGACAGGACTTAAAAGAAGAGCACAAATAAATATTTCTATCAGGTCCTGTACTACTGAAACAACATGACAGATAATTGTTCACGCACTTCAGCTACTCTGCTGCTGTCAGAGCCTCAGTCCCACAGGGCTCCTCGCTATTTGGAGGCGGCGCTATTGGATTATTTCCCCCAGTCAATAGGATCCTGTCACCCTTTAGGTCTGTTTCTGACAAGTCCTTTGAACTGATTGGCTTGATAGCATTAAAAGGTTAATGGACATGTGGTACATTTCACCATGTGGAAACAAACCAGGGCATCAACAGAGATGAAGGCTGCACATGTCCTTGGAAGGAAAACCCACTGAAGTCAGTGAAATTACTTTAGTTTAAATATGCACAGAAGTCAGCTGTTTAAGGTCTGCACTATCACCATTAGGTTATGTAAACTTTACTCAACAGATGCTACAGTTATGCAAAAATCAAGGTTTTCTGTGATAAATACTGCAAAGAAGCCACAAGGCTCACTCCAGATTGCTAAGAATCTCCAGGCACAGACCATTAGTAGGAGCACTCAGTTCTACTAACTCTGATCTCCAAGCTTGCAAAGGCATTTAAAGCCACAAGGCTCTCTCTTTCTGTAGTTAAATTTCCTCACTTTGGAATTTTATTACTTTATAGGTCCTGTAGTAATTCCACACATACCCAGCAGAAGAGGGGTTGATAATTTTTCTAGTGCCTGAGCATTAACCACGTATTAACAAACTGAAAGTAAAGTAAAACTGGACTAAAGAAACTGTTTTGACCTTAAGGGATCATTTTAACACTACTACAGCAGACCCTCCAAGTGTCCCTATTTTCCAGGGACAGTCCTGGATTTATGGAAGCCGTCCCTATCTACACTGGAGAATTTGGAGGATATGGAGTTTTGTGACCCCCAAGTCAAGGAGATCAGTAACTATAGTACAACCTTTAGAAGACATCTGAGGGCAGCCCTGTATAGATTAGGTTTTTAAAAAATGTTTAATGTTTTATTATGTTTTTATATATGTTGGAAGCTGCCCACAGTGGCTGGGGTATAAATACAACAACAACAATGGAATACCTTGCGGGTGGCGCGCCAGCCCTGACCCCGCCTGCTCTCCGCCCCACCCCACCCAGTGCCGGAACGTGAAGCTCCGCCACTGCATAAAGCCATGCACAAAAGCTGTGCAACTGAACTACTTCAAATTATTCAATAAAGACAAAGGCTTTCAGTTCCATACTCAGCACTGATGTAAGTCAAGAACTGTTCCACTGCCTAAATGATGGGGAAACTTAAAGCAGGTTCATGTTCTCGTCTCCGATGCCTGCCAACTACACATTGTTTAATGCACCCTCAGCAGTTTCATGAATGTCACTTACAACACATGAAATCGTCTGCATGGGCTGGAAAAGTGCAATGTAAGCAAAGCTCATATAGGCCAGAGCTGTCACATATTTTCAGTAACAAGAAGCCACAGCAATGGCAATGTTAAGAGTCTCAGATCGTTAAGCAATATCTCACTATGATGTCATGCATTGAAGTACAGAGTTGTAATCCTTTCAGAACAGACAGATTGTCAGTGTGATAAAGTGGATACAAGCAAGCTACTGAACAGGAATGACTAAAGCTTTGGGAAGGAGAAAAAAATTGGTCTGAGAGAGGATAGGAAGGGGGGGGGAAGCATCTTCCAAGTATAAAGTCAAGCAATAACATCATAGGTGCAACAGAGAGCTTAGCAGATAAACATTTATGTTATCTAGAATTTGCCTACACCAAACCTGGAAGTAGGGAAAACACAGTAAAACAATGCCCTTTATGCTACTCCTTTTGACTTCTAAGAAGCTTTTTTCTTTTGTAAAAAACAACTAATAAGTCAAATCAATAATAATAATTCATAATAATAACTCCACACAATCTATCTAGCTGCAGGTGTCTACAGAAAATAGCTTCAACATGTGAATGGACTATTAGGTTTTTTTAACCAATGCAGCCCAGTAAGCAAACATTTGAAACTTGTTCTGTTAACTAAACCCAGTTATGGTCAAATGGCAGACTTGAAGCATTCAACTTATGTTTCTTTAAATAAATAAATAACTTGTGACAGATCTTTGTATCCACAGGTAGAATGGAAGAGAAACAAAGGCTGTTCCATTGAATTTTAAAAAGGTTGCCTCATTGACTATTAATGGCTTCCTCATTCTTCTGGCAACGCATTAAGCCTGCAGAGTGTATGCTTGCCAAAGTTCAAAGCAAGCTGAGTGTATATTAAACTGGACCTCTCTTGTCATTGCTTGGGCAGGATGAAATAGGTAAAGAGAACACAGAGCAGTGTTAATCCACTGTAAAAGCTTTTGCTGTGTATAATGGAACTCAAACAGTTTCTCCTCCATCCCAAAAGTGTTTACTCAGTGCAGATGGGTCTGTCTGTAACAGAAGATGTTAACCTGCCACACATTAAAAAAAAGGTGCAGGCACACTGTGAAATGCTGTAGGAAACTATCCGGGAAAAGCGGCAAATATGTTTTCAAAAGGAGGCTCTGCATTTTACCACGGTTTAATTACATAGTTTGGTGTGTTTACATACAATCAGAAGATAATAGACCGTGGAAGGCACCATGCAGAGCAGCCTTCACCAACCTGGTGCCCTCCAGGCATTTGGGCTACAACTCATCAGCCACAGCCAGAGCAAGGGAAATGAATAGTGATGTAGAACAGATAGAGCAGCATTTCAGTCAATGCATAACTGACTTGTGGAATTTTGTGCCGCAAGATGTGATGGTGGCCACCAGCGTGAAAGGCTTTAAAAGCGAAATCCAGGATGGATAGGTTGGCTGTCATTAGCAGTGGTGGCTGGGGCCCATGGGAGTGGAAAGCAGTAGGTGGAGCCAGAGTCAATGGCAGGCAGAGGCAGCTCTTTCCAATTTGAACCCCATCCTCCTCCCACCCGGAATCTACAAAGGCAAGACTTAGATTAAGAAGCAAGAAACTGGCAGTCAGTACTGCCCCCCCCCCCCGATTGAAGAATGAAGGCAGGCAAGTGGGGGCTGATTAGGGACAGGATCAGATTGGTAGGACAGTATCCCATGTGCTTTAATAGACCAGCCTCCACTGGCTATTAAGGAAATTCTCAGGGAATTTCTCAGAATATTCTTTTCTTAGAAATTTCAGAGCAGCTCTTATGCATATCCTGCTTTTTAATATATTTTTATTGAAGATTTCTTGGTTTACAATAGTATGTGAAATGTCTCTTTTTTAAAGTTACATTTTCTACAGATCAGTTTCATTTGTTGAGACTTACATTAGGAAGAAAAGGGGGAAAGAGGTGGAGGGGGAATGGTGAGTGGGGGTGGGATTGGATGACGATGTTTCTATTTTACTTAATGTATGTGGGGTTTTATGTCAGCGTCGCTTGTGCAGGTTCTCTTTGCTATTCCCTTGTGTTCCTTTGGTGGTGAGAGAGGTTGGGGTTGGCCTAGGGTAGGGGTAGGCATCCTAAAGCCCAGGGGCCACAAGCAGCCCACAGTGGTCGTTTAACCGGCCCACGAGCTGCCCCTGAACTGAGCCGCCCACTCGGCAAGTCCCCATGTGCTGCGCTAAACTCACTTCCGCGGTGCCGGAAATTGCCTCTGCACATACACAGATGCTGGAAATCGTGTCTGCGCAGACGCAGACACCGGAAATTGCAGGCGCACAAACTCACATGAATGCACAATCCAGCCCACGCAGGGATCTCTACTGGAGTGAACCGGCCCAGGCAAGGTAAACCTTGCCAACTTCTGGCCTAGGGTGTGGTTGTTTGTTTGTGGTTGAGTGTGGTGAACTTTGTTTTCATGTGTGAGTGAGGTGGGTGGATGTTTTGGATCAGGTTAGCCATATTGATTCGTATGCTGATGGTGGATTATTGTCATTGTCTTGTTGGGCTGTGTGTGTGATAAAGGGGAGCCATCCCGGGGTGAAATGATCAACTCTCACAATTTTAAGTATCCCGAAGTCTTTGAAGTTACATGAGCTAGATTTTTTACATGATATATGAAATGATAATACAGTGAATTGTATCATTTTAAAAGGTTTTACTGATTTATGTTCTTGACAATTTTTTCTTTTTAAAAAGCATCTGCTGTCTAATAGAGGAAGCATGGTGCTTCCTTGGTTTAGGCCAAGAAAGGTACATTAACTAACAGATGAAAAGTGCAAAAGAATCCCGCTAACGGTGTGAGCTCCCATTGTTCGGTCCCTGCTCCTGCCAACCTAGCAGTGCGAAAGCACAAAGTGCAAGTGGATAAATAGGTACCACTCCGGCGGGAAGGTAAATAACATTTCCGTGCACTGCTCTGGTTCACCAGAAGTGGCTTAGTCATGCTGGCCACATGACCCGGAAGCTGTACGCCAGCTCCCTCGGCCAGTAAAGCGAGATAAGTGCTGCAACCCCAGAGTCATCCACAACTGGACCTAACGGTCAGGGGTCCCTTTACCTTTAGTCAATCCATGTACTTTCAACAAGACACATTAAGTTTAGAATTCATTTATCTAGACTGTGCTAGATTTTTATTATTCATTATTTCCTCTGGAAACAAATAATTCAAAATGCATTAAATATTTAAAGGTTTCTAGAGAACAAATATCACTTACTAATATAGAGATAAGTACAGTAGTTTTAAAATCGTCACTTAATTCTGTCAGCAGATATCTAGGAGTTTTACATGCAACCCACAGATTCCCAGTTAAAAACAACAACCCATATGTTCAATAAGTGCGTGCCTGAATCCAATATTGTATATAGTTGAAGTGTCAGATTATGTTGCCTCAAACTGATAATGCATGCAAAGTTTGTCTTTCTAACAAGGACAGTTTCTTCAACGCTGAGCTGCATATTTGAACCATTTTACATATACTTTACCATAAGTACTTATTTTCACTAAGTATGGGTATATAAAATTCCCCATTTGTTAGTTCACATTTGCAAGATGAATACCTAAAATATATCCTTTAATGCTTACACTCCCTTCCCATAACTAAACTCATGGATCAACTTAATGTGACAAAGCAGATCTCTGCACAGTCTACCTGGGTCATATATATGCACACAATGGCCAAATTTCCATTCAAAGGCAGCTTTAAAACCCGGGATACATGTCAGCTTGTGTGCACACGCATAAAATCAGCTTCTTAGGAAGTTTTCTGTCACTTTGACTTTACTTTCAGAACAGATTTGCCCATCACCTTGTAATGTGAACAATATTACGAGGAAGTTATGCTAATTCCCACGAGCCCGCATTTCCTTTGGCTGATAAAATTCGCTTCCCACTTTTGACACTGTGATTTGTTGTGCATTTCACACCAATTTCAATGTAGTAAATCATCACAAATTAAAAACACACAGCTCTATCCTCTAGGTTAAAAAGGCCCTCTCCAAAGCTGTTAATACAGCACTTTCTTTTGATGTGATAGCTCAGAGTCCTCTGGATGTTTTACGGCAAAGAGGGAGGTCACTACAGCACACTCCCCAAATAGTCAGGACTAAGCTTTCACTTTGAGTTCCTATGTGGTCATTTTGTAACAGGGACATCATTTTACAACAGTGAAATCTGAGGAATGTACCCAAGACCCCTTTTTATTGCTACTATCATTCTTCCTTATTAGCCTGTCAGAACGCACATGAGGCAGACAAAAAATTGTTTTACTCTTCAGGGGATTTCTCTCTCTCTCCTCCCCTCTCTCCTTTATGCTAAGAAAAATAAAAAAGTAGCAGCAGCAAATATTTCAGAATCCTACAGCAAACATTTGATTTTTTAAAAATTCACTATGAGGCTATGATTTAAATATTTCCCCCCACACAATAAGTTTTGTCAAAAATCTGCTGCAGTGACAGTCAAGATTTCCCCTTCTGTAAAATTTAACATTTTAAGTAATATCTTATGAGCAAAATATTTTGTCCTTGAACATCTGTTAAGCTGCTGGGAGTGCATCCATGTCACAAGATTCATCAAAGCTTGGGATGATGGATGGAAAATGCAGGTGCTGAATGGCAGCAAATGTCACCGCTCAACAAAGCAGCACATCACCATCATCTTCTCAAGTCACAAAAAAGTTCAGAACTAGCGTGGTGTAGTGGACGGATTGTTGAACTTGGAGCAGGGAGACTGGGTTCAAATCCCCCATCCAACCATGAACCTCACTAGGTGACCTAGGAAGGACCATGGCTCAGTGAACTGCATGCAAAGGTCCCAAGTTCAATCCCCAGGTAGGTCTCAGAAAGATTCCTTGTCTGTAACCCTGGAGAGCTGTTTAGACAACATTGAACTAGATGGACCAATGATTTAATGGAATAAGGCAGCATCCTATAGCCTCAAGCCATTCACTCTACATCTCAGCCTAACCAACTCACAGGGCTGCTGTGAGCATAAAAGCTAGAGCCCCTTTGAGGAAGGGCAGGATTAAAAAAAAGTGTAGGTGCAAGCGTTGTCATCTTCCTTTTATATATTTGTCCAACAACCAACACTGCAATTCTCTAAACTTCAGCTTCTTTCACTTAAAATGCTTTAGAAAGAAAATAGATTTTGCATCGTCACCAAGTACTGTACCAGCTTTGCAAGAAGAGGTTAAAAATAACAATAAAAGGTTTCTTTGGCTGTGTTTGAAGCAAGAGGAAGAACAAGCTAGTAGTAGGTCCCTTGTGTAGAGAAGATGAAGAAATGCTATTTGGTGACAGAGAGAAGCAGGAACTGTGCCACACCTACTTCGCCTCTGTCTTCACTGAATAGGAAAGCAATGCCCAATCTAGTGATAACATGATCAATGATGAAAGGAGGGAACTGAAGCCCAAGATAGGAAAAGAGGTGGTAAGGGAACACCTAGTTGTTTTAAATGAATTAAAATCTCCAGGGCCTGATGAGCTGCAGAGCGTGCGAATGTAATCTTAGAGTCACTTTGTATAACCTTTTCAGAATTCCTGGACAAAAAGTGAAGTCCCTGTGGACCGGAGGCAGGTAAATGTTGTCTCCCATCTTCAAAAAAGGGAGCGGGAGAAGACTCAGGTAAATATCGACTGGTAAACTTAAGATCAATACCAGGAAAGGTCTTAGAACACATAATTAAACAGTTGGTCTGTGAGCACTGAGAAAAGGCTGCTGTGATTGCTAGGACCCAGCATGTGTTTCTCAAAAACAAATCATGTGAGACAAATCTCTCTCTCTCTCTTTTCATAGAGTTACATAGTTACATGCCTGGTGGATCAGGGGAATGCTGTGAACATAGTGTATCTTGACTTCAGCAAGGCTTTTGACAAATTTCCCCATGATATTCTTGCAGAGAAGCTGGTAAAATATGGACTGGAGACATTTTCTGACTCTAAGAGCTATTCTACAGTGGAACAGACAAGAGGTGGTGGACTTACTTCACTTGGAGGTTTATAAGCAGAGGTTAGATAGCCATCTGTCATGTAAGATCTAGTTTAGATTCCTGCAGTGCAGGGTGTTGGACTGGAAGACCCTTGGTTCCCTTCCAATTCTACAAGTCTATGATTTAAAAGAAACCTAGCCCTTCAAGGTGCTGTCCCAAAGGAGATATAAGGGGGCCTCCAGAAGGCATTAAGAACTTTACAGCCTTGCATATGGTTACCACAGGCCAGCATCAAAGAGCTATTTTTCAAGCTCTCGGCTCCATAATTGGATGAGCATCCTCTTGAGGAAGATCAAGCTAGCGCCATGTATGCTTTTCCTCCGGCTATGTAAAGCAGGGGAGTTAAAAGTTTCTTTCAAACCAAAGCCTACTTGCTCATCATTTATTTTTTATTTATTAAATTTGTATACCGCCCTTCAACCGAAGTTCATAGGGCAGTTCACAACATAAATTACAAGGTGAGAACACAAAATGCATAATAAAACAAAAACAAACTATTAATCCTCATTTCACAAACACATTAAAAAGGAATAGAATGTTAATCCACCAAGAGATAAATGTTTTCACCTGGCGTTTAAAGATTTGTAATGAAGGTGTGAGGCAGGCATCCCTGGGGAGAGTATTCCACAAATGGGGAGGATATGTTTCTCCCATACAGAAATTCCTCAGGATGAGATTCCCATACAAATGTGCCATGGGGCCATTCAGATGAGGGAACTGCATGCCAGTGATCTTAGGAATGGAAATGTTTCAGAACCAATTTCGATTTCCCAGTATTATAACAATTTCCTTGTCTATTACAGAATCTACTCTCTTTCTCTTGGAGGTGTGCCTGTGATCCATAATTGAAGCAAACCCCATGATGGGGAAAGCATGTAAGAAGAAGAAGCCCTCTATCTGAGGAACTCTTTAATAAAATAACCTACAAGCTGTTTGGGTTAGGTTCATTTGTATCTCAACTCTAATAACAATTCTAGTAGATGTCATTAACTTTGCAATTGTTTTAAATGGTATAATTTGCGTTTTTAGCTGCAAATAGAAAGAAATGGGGGGAAATGTAATAAATACCACTTAACATGTCAAATGTCTTTTTTGGGGGAATGGCAACATTATAATGATACAGACTTAAATTGATACCACTTTGTCTTTTTTTTTTTTTGTATAACATCTCCACTGACTTGTGTTGACAATTTTTCATTTTGACATCAACATAACATCTCCATGGATTTTAGATGGCACATTGTTTTGACATCATGTTAAAATATAGCCACAATGATACCATTTAATTTTGCCATCACAATATTGTTTTGATTAGGCTAGCATGACATTTTATTTTGTCATCAAAATGCCACCTCTGAACTCCCTCGTACATTATATTGTCCCATAAATCCGCATGTATATCTTTAGGCTCATTAAAGAGATTGATGAAATAGAATAATTTGCCTGAAAAATTATGAAATGCCATATCCAAGTGGTTCCACTTCTTTATGTGTGGAGAACTGTAAGCCTTAGATACATCAAGCACACAGAAGAGTTTTGGTCCCATGGTAATTGTAAATTAAACTGAAAAATGTCTTTCAAAAGTTTTCCCAAATGAATCTAGTTCAGAAACTTCAGCCAAACAGCAGAACACTGCAAAAAATTGGAACCTTCCTTCATTTTAAAAAAAGTGTATTAACTGTTGTTCTTCACACTCCAATATATGCGTAATCAGAAAACCAATTCAAACATTAACTTCTGTACTTAAAATTAAAACTATCCCTTATATCAGGCACCCCCAACCTGTGGCCCTCCATATGTTTTGGCCTACAACTCCCATGATCCCTAGCTAACAGGACCAGTGGTCAGGGATGATGGGAATTGTAGTCCAAAACATCTGGAGGGCTGAAGGTTGAGGATGCCTGCCTTATATCAGTGGTGGGAAACTTCCAGGCTATAGCTGATTGGTGCTGACAGTGTGCTGTGAGCACCAATCTGATGACGGATGCTGATAGAGAACCCCTTTGAAGTTGTCACCTGATGCCCATGTGCGATCAAGTGACTGACATGTGGGTGGCCACACCTACTTATCAACATGGCATGTGGAAGAAGGTCAAGGACAGGATCTGGGCCTGACAGACCGATCCAGCTCCCCACTCCTGATTTGCTGAAGGCCGGTAGCTTAATGCTGGTTACCCTGTAACTTATTTTATAAACATGTAAAAAAAAACTATTCAGGATGATGAAAACCAAAGTGGATTGTGAACAATTTCTCCATATTGGGTACATGGTGACAATGTGGAACATGTGGCTCAATTTAAGTATGTGGTAAGTGAAGCATAAAAAAACCCCAACAACTTTATCACATCTGCAGTGATGGATATAGCACTTTATTCATTATTTAAAGAGTAAGAAACTATACAGGGGGGAGATTTTGAGGTTGTGGTGCATAGCTCAGTGTAACAATAAGCTTTGGTTAAAGGCTTAGTGCAAACTGCTAAATTGCTTCTACTTAGTTCCTCTCCTGGTGAAAGCAGGAGCAACAAACCATACAGGGATTCTAAAGCCTGACTAAAGTGTTGGCTAGTGGGCATGGTTTGTTAGGGCTGAAATAAACCACAATTCCAGGTTTAGATGTAATGACAAGCCAAGTCATATCACAAGAAGAATGAAGTGGGGCTCATCTGGATAAGCTATAACCATGGCTTATTGTTACATGCAAACTGGATCAGTAGAAGAGCTCTGGAAAAAGTGAATTCCGGGTTGACGATTGTGAGGAAAAGGTGCTGAAAATTAGACCTACCATACAAAACTATGCTGCAGCCATATACTTTTGGGTGCCCCACCTCAGAAATGATACTGTAATGCTATCAAAGGTGTAAACTGTGTCTAATTTGACTCAAAAGAAGTAGTAAAGATGCTGCATCTACAATGGTCAAAGGACTAAAATAAATATTTTTTATCTGAAATTGGCAGGTTAGAACACCATATTGATCAAACAATTGAGATATTGAAAAAGCAAGCTGAAGACGGAATGAGAAAATTGGAAAGCAAGTTGGATGCTCTGGAAAATAATCATTAATTATAACAAGGTGCAAAAGGATCTGTTAGAAAAACAAAACCAATAGTCTGTCACGTTAGACATGCAAGAGCAATTATTAAATAAATTAACTGTGCAAGTTTACAATTTGGAAAATAAAGCCAGGAGAAACATCTTGGTAGTGGAAGGAAGTTTTCCCTGCATGTTGCTGACCTATAAGAGCATAGAGATGGAAAGTGGCTATTGGTTTCATTCACATCTATTTCACAGCATCTTTATGTCACCATATTGAATAAAAATATATGTATTAAAAAGGCAATGTGATTTTGGAATGCATCCATTGACAATAAGAGTGGAGTAATTCAGAGCATGGAGAAAATGGCCTACCAGATCCTTTATAATCTACCACCTAGCTCTAGCAACAGTCCCTTCTTTAATGACAAATTCCAATGGATCCTTCCAGAATTCGCTGCATTTAATGTAAGCTAAGCAGCATATTTATTCTGTACAATAGCATTCTACCTATAAATGACCACTGATACAAATCTCTAAAGTTTCCACATGGCTTCATAAGTCTCCCCTTGTGTTCAGATCTGATAAGAGCCTCTAGAATTTCCTACCCATTGCAATCAGTCCAGAGTCATCATGTTCAACAGAAATTGCCTATGTTATCGTATTTTAGAAAGGCTAGTAAGGTTTGTTTGAAGCAATCCCCTGATCCCTCTTCATGAATAAAGTACAATGATACTTTAAACATTCTGCATTTGTCAGGAGGGCATTTCTATACACTGGATTCTCACAGTAAAACAAACATCTATATTGGAACATCTATATAGTTCTCCCTGTCTCTCTCATCCTGGATTTATAAAGAAAGATTTAAAAATGAATGGTCAGTGCCACAGGTGTGACTGAGTTATATAAAAGCTTTCCTAAATATGGTTTATAACCTCAGTGAGAAGGCAAGATTTAGAATCGGGTTGGTCTATACAGCAGAATTTGGGGGCCCAATTATCCCCCTTCCTCACTGAATCTCTAGGACCAAAGTAATTTGGTTTACACAGCTTTGGATGCAGAACTATCAGCCCCTTTACCTCTCACATGGTATTTAACAGAAAAATAATAGCTTTAGTATAATAACAGAGTTGTAATAGTAACAATTGTATTACTAGAACAGTTTTAAAAGATATATGTAGATCAGTGAAACTAGTGTCTGCCTGGATATTGAGAATAAAAAGCTGAAATTTACAGGTTATGTTCATTTGATGTTGTTTGCAGATGGCACAGCCTTGACAGTACACTCTGGGGAAGGCTCTACAGAGATTCAGCAACTGTTTTGCCCAAGTCTGCATGGAGTTCAGCCTTACCATCAGCCTGGTGAAGACCAACATCCTGGGTCAGGAGCAACACCTCCCTGCCTTCCACCTGCACTGTGTAAGGAACATTTTGGGCACCACATGGCAGGACAGAGTCTCAAACAAAGATGTGCTCTGCCAAGCCATAGTCCCGGAATGTTAGCACTTCAGCCATGGCTACACTGGCTTGCGTCATGTACACAGAATGGAAGATGGATGGATCCCCATGGATGTGCTTTACAGGGAGCTGGCTTCAGGCACCAGGCCTCTTGGCAAACCAACTCTGTGTTATAAAGTTATAAAGTCTGGAAACGTGACATAAAGGCTGGTAACATTAACCCCACTATGTGAGAATCCCTTGCAGATGACCGCAACGCCAGGAGACAAGACAGTCAGGTCATGTATCCACAGTAGTGACCTGAAGAGGAGGAAGGAGCACAGGGAGAAGAAATGCCATTGTGCATTTGCAACACCAAAACCAGATGCCTTCATCTGCCCCAGGTGCAATAAAACATGTCCCTCCCATATTGGTTTCTACAGCCACAATAGGCGCTGTAACTCTCCAACAGTTTGATTTACCCCTGGTGGCACTCTTCCCATTGTCTCTCAAGACAGACGGATGCCAACAGGTTATGTTCATTTGATAGCCACAGTAAACATGCAGACCCCCCTGCCTCCCAAAAGCTTTTAAAATTCTCCCTCTCAGATCCCTTAACACTATTTTGAGTGCAAGAATGTGCAGTTTGGTTCATTAGTTTCAGATATGTATCATTGGCTTCAGAGACAGAAGTTATTTTACCTAAACAGAGAGAAAACGCTATTCTCTAATACAGTGGTACCTCGGGTTAAGTACTTAATTCGTTCCGGAGGTCCGTTCTTAACCTGAAACTGTTCTTAACCTGAAACACCACTTTAGCTAATGGGGCCTCCCACTGCTGCCACGCCGCCGGAGCACGATTTCTGTTCTCATCCTGAAGCAAAGTTCTTAACCTGAAGCACTATTTCTGGGTTAGCGGAGTCTGTAACCTGAAGCGTATGTAACCTGAGGTACCACTGTATGGTGGAATTTCCCCAATCTGGATTTTTGGGGCTATAAATAGGTTTATCATGGCTATAAAATTGCAATTCTCACTTTTTTTATTCTAAATGTAAAGGCTGGGACTAAACGTTTGCCAACTGAAGACTAATAAAGTCTCTCAGTAACCCTTAGGTGTGCCTAAGGCAGGCATAGGCAAACTCGGACCTCCAGATGTTTGGGGACTACAACTCCCATCATCCCTAGCTAACAGGACCAGTGGTCAGGAATGACTGGAGTTGTAGTTCCAAAACATCTGGAGGGCCGAGTTTGCCTATGCCTGGCCTAAGGCATTCATGGCAGAGACAAGGGTCACATTTACACTGTACATTTAAAGCACTATGATCCCACTTTAAATAGTCATGGCAGTCATGGCTTCCCCCAAAGCATTCTGGGAGCTGTAGTTTGTGAAGGGTGTTGCTTTTTGTTCAGAGACCCCTATTCCCCTTCTAAACCTACAATTCCCATCTTCAGAGGGAACTCTGCACTCTCAGAGCAAGGAATTAGGAATTAGAAGTATGCATTATGTGGCCACTACAAATCTCTCCTCAATGCTGTTTAATTTAAAGAAACCCAAATGACATGTCTCCATGCAGCTGGATTACTGCCATTCATTTCTGGTCACATTCCACCGATCCAGTTGTTCCTGGCCAATTACTTGTGGCTGAAGCAAGCCTAAAATAAGAACAAAACTTAGCGCATTTTATTTTAAATCCCCATAATGGCAGATCAGATTTATGTGAACTCTTTGGTGAATTGGCTCTTTTATTAGTGGCCTGTTTAATTCAAAATCTCAGCCTTCTACTGAAGATTAATTAAATATTAATCAAAGTCCAGAGCTGTATAAGCTCCTGTTCCATTAACCTAAATGTGACTCCATAGCAAAGCAGCATTGCATCTTTCTTCCTTGGTATTAGAGGAAGCTTTTAGTATTTCTTCTTTATGGTGGAACTTAGACCAAAGGAAGACATGCTATTTGCAATATGTGTTTTAAAGGTCATAATTTTTCGCCTTTCCTTCCCCTCCCCCTAGTTAAAGTTCCTCTTAATCACAATTAAGCTTTCAAGAAACAATTAGCAGAAGCCAAAACTTTTCCTTCACTGATATATTTAAAGGATGTACCCTCTTATTACCAGTCCCGGCAGCGAACTAATTATACAGTGTTAAGGTTCACCTACTGGGATGTAAATTTTGGTTTGAGTTGACACTAAAAAGAAACATCAATTTATTAGGAGATAAAATTTGTTCTGCAGTAATGGAACAGCTGTGTATAGAAATTTACTGCAGCTTAATGTTCTCACGCATAAAGCAATTAGAGTTTTCTGACAAACAGACTTGCTAAGTGTAATGGGTAACACGGAACCATATGCAACAACGTATGTAAGATTGATGTAGTTTACTTTACATGGTAATAGCCTAGTCTCAAAACAACCAATATGCAAAGATGGAACAGTATATATATGCTCCCCCCTCCTGCTTTACAGATCTATGTGAACAAACCTTTTAAAATCTCCACTTCCCTTCACTTTTTGAATGGCGAAGTTTCATCCTGAAGATTTCTGCATGCTTTGGAAGTTTGTGTGTACAGAATTAGCTCCATAATAAAAGGAATACATACAAAAAATGCAGGTCCTATTGGTACTCATTCTTTTTTTTTTTTTTTTTTTTTGTTTAATATTTTATTAAGGATTTTCTTGTTTTACAGAAGTGTAGTGCCTCATATATATTTTTCCCCATGTAACATTTTTACAAATCCGTTTCATTTGTTGAGGCATTAGGGGGAGAAGAAAATAAAAATAAAAATAAAAAAAGGAGAGAAAAGAGAAAGGGGGGTGGAGAGAGGGAAGATGGATAAGGGTGGGATTGGGTGGCGGTGTTTCTATTATGTTTAATGTATGTAGAGTTTGGTGTCAGCGTGCTTGTGTTGTTCACTTGTGTTCCTTTGGTGGTGAGAGAGGTTGGGGTTGGCCTAGGGTGTGATTGTTTGCTTGTGATTGGCTGTGGTGATCTTTGTTTTCGTGTGTGAGTGAGGTGGGTGGGTGTTTTGGATCAGGTTAGCCATATTGATTTGTATGCTGTTGGTGGATTATTGTCATTGTCCTGTTGGGCTGTGTGTGTGATAAAGGGGAGCCATACCGGGGTGAAGGCATCTTCTTCTGTTTGTCCCCGTGTCAGTTTCAGTTTATTAGTTAATTTTTCTAGTAGGGCTGTTTCCCATACTATTTGATACCATTGGTCCATGCTTACTCCTGACAGGTCTCTCCAGTGTCTGGTTATGGTGTTTCTGGCTGCTGAGAGCAGGTGGGTTATGAGTTCTTTGTGGTGTAAATGGGCATTGTTGTCTTGGAAGATGTTTAGTAGGGCCAATTCTGGGGTGGTGTCTATTACTTGCTTAGTTATTTTACAAATTTCTTGTATGGCTGTTGTCCAGAATAGTTGGATTTTGGGACACTCCCACCACATGTGGAAGTATGTGCCTGTGGAGGTGCACCCTCTCCAGCATTTTGGTGAGGTTCCTGGGTGTATTAGCGCTAGTTTCCTTGGTGTTAGGTACCACCTGTAGGTGAGTTTCAGTGTGAGTTCTTTTCTTTTCGTTGATATGGATTTAAAGGGGGGTTTAGACCACATTCTGGTCCATTGAGTGGGGTTTATCTCATAGCCTATGTCATTCTCCCATTGATTTTTGATTGCGTCTAGGGGATTTGCGAGATTTTGGAGTAGTATTTTGTATATTGCGGATACCATCCCTTTACCGTTTCCCTTTGTTGCTAGGAGGAGGTTTTCGAAGGTTGTCAGGGGCCTAGTTGCTGCTGATTTTACTGTTGGGTTGTTTAAGAGGGCATGTAGTTGGTGTTGTGTTAACCAGGGCATTTGGGTGTCTTCTAGTTTGTCTTGTATTTCTTGTGTTGACAAGGGTTTGTTATTTTTATAAAAGTCTATTAGGCGATATAAGCCTTTGGTTCGCCAGGTTTTTATCTTGAGGTTTTGTGCTGCATGGTGGAATAATGGGTGGTACGCCAGGGGGATTAGTGGGGATGGGGTTGGGGATAGTTTGCCTGTTTGTGTTTTCCATGCTTTGAGCATGGTCTGTGTGTACCTGTTAAGTGTTGTGGGAATTTTCTTTAGTTTGTTTGGGAGGAGTGGGTATGCTGTGGTGCAGGTGTTTTCAATTGTGTCCCTCTCTAGGTGTACCCATTGTTTTGTCTCATCTTCTAGTATATATGGGATTATATGGCGTATTTGGTTGGCGTTGTAATATGCTTCTATGTTGGGGATTCCCCATCCTCCTTCTGAGGTGGGGAGGTGCAGGTATTTGGGGCTTATTCTTGGTTTTTTATGTGAGAAGATGAAAGAGTGTAGTTTTCTCTGCCAACTGTGAAGTTGGGTTGAGGGGATCCAGATTGGGAGGGTTTGGAATAGGTAGGTTAGTTTTGGGAGTGTGGTCATTTTGATCATGGCTATTTTGTCTGAGAGAGTGAGGTTCATGTTATTCCATCTCTTTAGGTCTTTGTTAATTTGTCGCCACAGGGGCTTGTAGTTGTGGAGGTATAATTTATTGAGGTTTCTGGTTATTTGTACCCCTAGGTATCTGAACTTGGTGTGGCAAAGTTTTATTTTGGTGACCTTCGTGAGTTCTTTTTGGGTGTGAGGAGGGGTGTTGAAGCACATAGCTTCTGACTTTGTGAAATTTACCTGTAGGCCCGACACCATTGCAAATGCGTTGAGTTCTCTGATTAGGGAGGTTGCTGTGCTTATGGGGTCTGGTGTTGTGACCATTAGGTCATCTGCAAAGAGCCCTAATTTATAGGTCCTGCCTTTTATTTCCACTCCCTTGATGTCTGTGGCTGCTCGGATGCGGATTGCTAGGGGTTCCAGAGCCAGGATAAATAAGAAGGGAGACAGTGGGCATCCTTGTTTCGTGCCTCTTTGGATAGCTATAGTGTTAGAATCCATATTGTTAGTTCTGCATTTTGCTGAGGCTTGGGAGTATATTTGTTTGAGGATTTGTAGGAAGTTGGGGCCAAATTTCATGTTAGTTAGTACTGCTAATATGTATTTCCACTCCAAGCAATCAAAGGCTTTGAGTATGTCTAGGGACATAATTGTCAATGGGAGTTTGGTTGCCTTGCTGTGTTCGATCAGGTTCAGTAGTTTCCTGATGGGGTCTGTTATATTGCGGCCAGGGACAAAGCCAGTCTGGTCTGGGGCTATTAACTTGTGTAGGAAGATTTTTAGGCGGTTGGCCAAGATTGATGTGAATATCTTGTAGTCTTGGTTTATTAATGAGATTGGGCGGTATGATTCTACTTTGAGGCTGTCTTTTAGTGGTTTTGGGATGGAGACTATTTTGGAGTGGGTCCAGGTTTTGGGGATGGGGCCCCCTTTTATGATGTCGTTGAATAGGCGGGTCATGTAGGGCATCAAGGGTTCTTTGAATTTCTTATAGAATTCTGCTGTGAAGCCGTCTGGGCCTGGGGCTTTGTGTGGTTTCAAGTTTTTGAGGACCGCATCTATTTCCTCTGGGGTGATAGGGCTATCCATGAATTTCTGTTCCTCATCAGTTAGGGTAGGCATGGTCAGTCCTGCTAGAAATTTTTTGATTTCCCTCTCTGGTGGGTTATGAGAGGTGTATAGGTTGGAGTAAAATTCTGCAAATTCTGAAATTATTTCTTTGGGGGAGAATGTTATGTTGCCGTCTTTTTTGGTGATGCAGTGTATTCTTGTTTTGAGTGCTTTTTTTCTACATCTATTTGCTAGTAATCTGGAGTTTTTCCCTCCATATTCATAGAAACGTTGTTTAGAG